CGAGTTTAGTCGATGTAGAAAATCTGTGTGCAAGATTTAAATCTTGTTTGATATGACGAACTGTGTCTCTCTTATTCAAATATATCTTAGTACTTGAATAAATGTCAGAAATAGAAAACTTCCATTTATTACACTGACAATATTTATTAATAAACAAACGAAGGGCAGGGTACTTCATTTCGCAAATTGAGACTTATCGATCCGTCGACAGAGTCTAAAATATTTTAAAAAATGAAGTCATAGCTTTTCCTGCCAGTTTAGGAATAACTGATACTTAGAGCATCAATAAGCAATTTCTTAACAAATACTTCACCTTTTCTGTTTCTCCTCATAATCTGCAAAATGTTAATTTTATTGAAATCTTCTTCAAATGCTTTACTTCCTTCTTTACCAATTATGCTTCTTCCTTGAAATCCCTCTGTACCTTGACTATACATTCCCTTCTTTCCTCCGCAGAACTCCTTGCCTAGGTGTAATACTTAGCATTAGATTTTCGAATTTAGGAATGAAAACGTTGAAACGGAAGTTCCCTCTGCCAGAAGAGGAAAAACCGAAATTGAAGAGTAACAAGAACGTTAAATCAGCGGCAAAACTTCGCTCACTTGAAGAAGAAGCAGCAAAATTGGTTCCATGGACATTAGATTTGGACGATGAAGGTTCATCTTCAGATCTCGAGAAGGAAACCAAGTCGCTGAAAATCTCTGATATTGCCACTCCATCTAATAAAAAATTAATTGGTAGCAGCAGCGATGAGATGAATTCAGAAAATTCTGATGAAGAGAAGGAGACTGACACAATAGCTACTGATGAGTCAGTTGATCTCAAATAATTACGGTTTACTTTTCGTAATCAAATATGAGTACGGAGACTTTAACATTTACATTTCAAACAGTACCTTTTAAGGGATACTGGCTCAGGGAAAGAGGAAGATATGGAAGTCAATGAATTACCTACGACTTCAAAGGAAGAAGAAGAAGAAGAAGATTATCAAAAGGAATTTAAAGTGCTCGGGCAGACAGAGTTTGAACCACTGAAAAAGATTAAGTACGTCGCTCTGTAATTTCCAACCTTCTCCTTTTTACTAATGCTAGCAATTTCTTTTAGTGTTACAACTTCTTGGGTATCAAATGCAACCTTGTTTCCTGCCGAGATTATTAAGGAGAATCTTGCGGATCTATCTTGTGTAGGCGGTTTGCCTGAACCTATAGCGAAAATAGTCAAGAAGAAAATCGATTCTTGGTTTCCAGTCCAGGTAAGCAACTTCAAATCAGCTGCACTTCAGCATGTTCCTTGTTGAAATTTTGCTCTATCCAGCAAGCAGTTCTTCCTTGTCTTCTTCAAGATATTGTCAAAGTTCCT